TTATATTTAAGAAATACCTTGTGTATAAAATGTTTATAGATATTTGTGGAACTAAAATGCACATGTATATTTTTAAACTATTAAGTTTTAAAAGTCTGGACTTCTCAGACAGTGTATGAAATGAAATATACTATCCTTCGAATCTAGTTGGCCCTGTTTTCTGCTTAGCCTGTGATGAAAGCTTTGCTGCTAACCTAATGGTATCAGAGATGAAATGTAAACTATATAAAAGGTTTGTTGCATTAGAAACACTGCAGCAAAGCTTTGTATCTGACCACTGGTAATATGAATGTGTTGTATTGTTGAAGATAATCATAAAACATATATTTTCAATGTTTCTTTCCTTGTAGATTAGAACACAAATGTCCTTTTTTTTTTTTTTTTTTTTGGTAAATACTGAATTTTATAAAAGTCTTTCCTTTGTGGTTTCTCCCTAATCATCCATTTCACAAAAACCAGAACATACAATTATTCATCATACATAATGTTATACAACAATAGGGTCCCCAATTCAGAACAAATTTTATTAAATTCTATAAACAAGAACAAAATTAAATAATGAAGATGTTGTAATGCATATGTCATCCTCCCTCTAAAAATAAATGAGAAACCTAAAAACAGCATTGTGCATTTTTTTTCCTCCTTGTATTTGCAAAACATGTTGTCTGTAATCAAATACACACTTATCTGGGACTCAGTTTTATGTACCTATTTATTTGTACCCTACCTTTTTTCCTGCAAGTAACCCAAGACAACTCCTTTCCATTTTATCTTCACAACATCAACCTCGTGAGAGAGATACGACTGGTCCATGTCACTCCGTGCCCTTCATGGCCAAGTGAGAACTAGAACCCAGATCTCCTGAATCCCAACACAGCTACTAGCACCATTCCACACTACAGTCTACTGAATACCTTAAAGACAGATATTGTTGCTTAATGTTTTCATGTGTAAGGCCTCTGCTTCAACACCGGAATATACAGCTAAAAGTATCTTAGACTGTAATCTTCTTCCTCAATCTGGGAAAGGCAGTAGGAGAGCATCACTGGGAGCATAGAATGGATCAGAAACCCCCTTCCAAGGTCAGAGGCAGTTCTCCAACCTCAGAACATGAAATTGAAGATTCAGTCCCCACCCAGTTGTGGCACAGAAAGAAACATGCTAGGATACTTTTCCAAGGTTGGAAATTTAACCTCAGAGGAAGAAGAGAGAGTGCATTCCAGTGGGCAGGTTGGGGAGAAGATCAGAGAGCCCAAGGTACCATTTACCCTGAACTCATACAGCTTCCTTCCCTCCCCATCCAGTGTCCTTCTTAAATGAACTGAAAAGGCTGTTTAGCAAAACTAAAAATCAGATGATGGAGAGGCAAAGATCACATTCGCCACTCTTCATGCACTGCTGGCTTCTGCCCAGCCGGACATAGGAATCTCACAAACCACCAAGCTTAGAGCCTTCCAAATGGTAAAGGTACAGTTCACAGAACTGGACAATTCTGATGGTGTTCTGACAGAACAGATACATTCTAACAAATTTCAACTTAATAAGTTGACTTGGATGCAGCCCATTAAGATAAGGACTCATGGTTAATGGCTTCTAGGTATACCAGCTTTAAAACATGGCTTCATATCCTGGTTTATTTGAAAGGAATTTAGCAGGATCTTGAGTTCACATGCATACTGGTAAAACCTCAAAGCAATGAAAGAAATGAAAGAAATTTTAATTGATATCTGAGGAAATCATCAGATTTCTGAGAAGAAATGACAGAAAATCAATTAGAAATACATTCATTGGGCAGAATCCCTTCTAACCAGGTTGTTCACCTTAAAAAATAAGATTGTTCCTGTACAAAGAAAAGATTCTATTTTAGAATCACCACATTTCATTCACTCACACTTTATGTGGGATCTATATAATATCATCCATGTGCAGTCTTCCAGTGTTTTACTAGTGCTGCTTCCATCCTTTTGTCTTACTGAACAAAAATCCCAGGATTTATTTAGTTATTTTTGTAGAGAGGAGGAGATGTAGATGCCTTCAGCATTATAGTGAATGTGTTTTGGGATGTGATGAGTTCAGCAACTCAGAAAGTCATTACCATAGAATACAGTGAGTTGTACACCCAGAAAATGCACAATATCCTCCAGCAGTATGAAAAGCTGCTTGCAGTTCTGCTTGTAGCTTACAGGAGAAGAGTGATAACACCCTATTTTGCTGGCTAGCTTTGTGATTACTGATCTACTACTATCATAACAAAAGTGTATCCACTTGCAATCAGAGGGCATCATGCAGCAATTCTTGTTTCCCTAATAGGGTTTTTTGTTTTTGTTTTTTGGCAATAAGGAAAAAGACAGAAGTGCTGGAAAAACATAAGGAGGGTTAAAAAAAATGTGATGCCATTTGGGCCCCTTGTTAAATTCTGTAAATGAGGCAACAGTGGCAGAATAAATGCCTCACTTGGAAGAAACTCAATTTTCTACGGAGAGCTCAGGAGGGAAATCCCCCCAAAATTGCAGGATATATGTAAAAATTAGACTTTTTATACAGACCAAAACAAAAGGCTAATACTGACGAAACAGAAACAAGCTGGTCTTAGAGGAAGAACAAATGTAATCCATTGTTTTGTGCTTTGCAAGAATGCTTCATGAAAAGATATGGATATGCAGAATCTGTACATTCTATACCACATACAGGAACCACCTGTGCTTTAGACTGTTATATTTTAATTTCAGCAGGCTAGGGGCTGCTGAAAATTGGAACTGACCTGACTGACCAGTTTACCAACAGGCAGTACTAATAGGCCACACGAAGTAAGACAGGGCTTGGGAAGCCTCCAGAATAACAATGTGAACAACCAAAGTACATTTGTTTGTTCACAGACCAGGAAGAGTTAAAAATAAAATAGCAAGAGAAAAAATGAAACACAAAACAAGTACACTTTATACAATACATTCACTTAAACAGGTGACCACATTTTTCCTAATCTGCATTGAAGACATAAAAAAAAATTGGCAACATTTCCAGTAAGATAAGAGGACTGGAAACCCTTATCCTTTAAACACATTAATACCAGAGTAGAAGAATCATTCCCATCAAAATCTTTTATTAATGATTTAATCGATTTCTCTCTGCATTCCCTATAAAAGCTGCAATATAGGAAATCATGTTGCAATTTTCTCCTGCTCCAGCACCACAGGAACATACCCATTCATTAAATGGGGTCTTAATAAATCAGCCTTTTAGTAGCACTGATGGAAGCACATTAAAACAGGCAAAGGTAAATGCTCTTCCGTACTTTGGAATAGTTAGTGCGTACATATATGGAGCTGGAGTAAATCCATTTTATAGCAATTATGACAGTTTAGATGAAATACTGAGGAACAAGTTTTAATAGCAGCAGTTCTCAAATACTGAAGATGTAAGTCTACTAATCTTTGAACAAGTTGGGATTTCTCCAGCCCACAGCTGCCCAGCACTTCTGCAGAGAAGCTTAGACTATGTAGCTCCTTGTCCATTTCTCTCATCCATCCGTTAACCTACATATCTGAAAGCAGTAGAAACAGGAGTCACCAGGCGCTGCTAGAAGATGTAAATATAGCCAAACAACCAAGTTGCACCACCAGTGGTAATTTTTCTAAAAATGGGTGAGCCTGGAATGCAGGCATTCAAGACAGACTTTAGAAAGAGGCTGCCAAGGGAAAGAGGTAGTGGGTAACACGTGCGGGGCTGCAGCCGAAGTCTCCCCGCTCTGTTGAACATGGATGGCCTGCTTTGGCCCAAGACGAGAGTCCATCAAGCAGCGACCCGAGCCTCTTTTGTCCGTAGGTGCAAAACAGGAAACAAACGCCTTCTTTCCCCGCCTTTCATGCAATTCCGCTCGGCAACCATGGAGGCGGAGACAGCGCCAAGGCCGCTCTTCAGAGCGGCGCTGTCCGGACAAGCGGCCTGGGATCACCGTGGAAACCAGCAACAGCTCCGACTTTGTCAGGCTGCTGCAGCATCCAAAGGTAAGCCCAAGCTGCAGAGCCATAGGTAGGTTTGCTGGCATCTGACAGAATCCGAGAGGAGTGTGTGAGAAGCACATGGTCGCACACATTTCTTGACTGGGGCAAGAGGGCAACGTTGAACTGGCTCCTTCCCTTCTGGGCAGGACTCCTGTGCCTCTCCGATAGCTGTGAGAGGCACAGGAAATTCAACAGGTGAAAGTTTCCTTCAACATGATGTTGCACTACTGAGGAAAACCTTCACCAGTTGCTTTTCTGTCTGTCATACATCTGATGAAGGCACAGGTAACCCCTGCCAGGAAACAGATGTTCATCCTTATGCTCTGTGTCTTGTTTGCAGCTTGAATGATGAAAAGTATTCCCATGACAGGGCTGCTGTACTGCATCTCTTTTCCCATTTTCTGCATCCTGTGTCTTTTTCTCATTGCCCATTTGCTGCTTTGTGTGTTTGCAGTCTGCATGTACAAGCACACCCACAGGTCATCTGTTTCACAGAAACAGCAGGGGGCAGAGGGAGAAATGAGTAAGATAATTACAGCAAGATGATGGTGTAATACAAGCCTTGTCAAACCATCCTGAGTCTAGCTGCTCCCTCTGCTTCCCATCACTTTAGTGGCAACAAATGGAGAGTTGTGAATCTCACTTGCTTTGAGAACTCGTGAACCCAGTCCTGGAGGTCACAGATGACCACAGATACAAGCAGTAGTAAATTTATTTGAGGTGTTACTCTTTTCATAGCTTATGATTTCCTAATTATAAATTTCTGTGTCTGTGTATGAGTCACTTTGAATCTGAATTTTGCAGTGGGAGGTAATGCATAAATTTAATAATAATTTTATGCAAATGAGCTTTATAACCATTTGTTCTAAGACTTCAGGGAGGTGACTTTCCAGTTCTTGCTGCTTGATTTTGTGAAACAGGTGTCTCTGTGTGAACAGCCAATACCTTTTTAGGTCATGGGTATGTTTTGAAAACAAAATTTTCTTGTGTCTAGTAAACATGTCGGATGTTTTGAAAGATAAAGCAACCTGCTTTTTAAAGAAAAGAGGCAGCATTTCCTCTTTTGGGAGTCATGAGGTCAAGGCAAAAGAATTCCTTGGAAAAAACAAAGAGTGAGTAGAACCCATACTGTTTTCTGACTTCTTTTCTCACCAAATCTACAATAAGTTATTAATGGTTTATTCTATCAGGATATAAGAAAAAGTTCTTTCGTCTTTTTGAGATATCACATTCTGTTCTTGCTTTCATGCATAGGATGTCTGCTAATAGGTGGGTACCCATGTGGCTTTCAGCATTTTACTAACTGGTATACATTTTAAACAATGAAACTCGCACTTCTTAGAACTGTGCTGAGTAGAACATGGGAAAAAGGACATCTGCTACATGAGTGGCAGAAAAGTGTGCATGATTTGGAATTCAAGAACTTGTAGAGGGGGGAACAGGAATTCATATTTGCTTCACAGTGTGTAATTCTGACTGGGCATGGACAATCGAATACCGTATACCAGTACAATCATGTACTTTGGTATGAAAAGAAGTAAAGGGAAGAAAAAAACTGGGAAGACATAGAAATGCTTAAAACAAGGGGCTTTGGTGAGCTTGGGTCCTTCAGCTTTTTACCCAGAGGAAAGTCCCACTGATTTCAAACTGGACCTACACCCAAGTAAGTGTACATAATATCTGTATCACTGTCTGTTTTGTTTAAAAATGCAAATACCCAGAATAGTTTATGCTTTCTGCAAAATTCTATAGCATTGCCTGGTTTCATTCTCATCAAGTTGTTATAGTCTCACCCTAAATGTTGTCCATGTACGACAAACTCTAAGAGATATAACATATGGCAAATTCTTCTTTGAGCAAATCCAAAATACAGCAAAGATATATTTTAAATAAATTAACTGTATGCTTATGAGAATGAATTCTAGAGGGATATCCATATTGGTCTGTTACAGCATAAACAATGAAAAGTCTTATGGCACCTTAAAGATCAGTGAAATTATTGCCTGGAAAGTTCATGAACTGCAGGCCACTGCATCAAATGCACACATCTAATAAAATGGGCTGTAGTCAATGTAAGCTTGTGCAATGAAAGCTTAATTACTTTTAAGATAACATAAAACTTCTTGTCCCTTTCAGAGTGATACTTCACACATTGTTGGTTTTAGTAGATTTAGTTTTCAATAAATAGAAATGAATTAACTTATTGATGGGGCTGTATTTAGCTCCATAAGTACAGTGCCTTACATGGATGAGCCTGGCCACCATGATGATACTCTTCGCCCTGCTGTTCAGATGGAGAACACTTATCAGCTGAGTAAGTATCACTTCCTCCATAATGTTCCAATCCCACATTTAAGATTCTCAAGGGCTCTAATCGTCCTTCAGCAGCAGACTAGGGAAGGAGTGTTGGGTGAGGTTGGAACAATTTGAATCCTTTATAGATGGTTTGCTTTTCAATAAAGTTGGTATTACCAAGTAGGAAGGACAGTCTGTGTATGAGGCACATGTATTATTATTATGATTATTACTACTACTACTAAAGATAATTAAATTGTAAGGGAGACTGTAGTTAAAAATCCCATCAAGTTTTGTATTTGCCTTTTGACTTTCCAGAATCCTTGTGAATTTATTTATTTATTTATGTTAAGATAATTTGTGCCCCATGCTTTAGTTAACTATTTCTAGACAGACTTACATTAAAACAGATTTTAAAAAAATACTAACATCTGCATACAAGCAGCAGAACAGCTTTTAAAAAGAGCAAAATTAAAACAAGAACTCAGTTATATGCAGCAGAAGTATTTTTGTGTTCACTAAGGCGCTTATTCTCATGTAAGCATGTATAACACAGCAGCCAGAAGCTATAGTCATTCACAAAAGGAATAAGCCCCATAGAATGCTTGCTTCCAAGTAAACATAAATATAATTGTGCTTTAAAACACTCTTTACCTTACAACAGAAACACATAGGATTTGGTATCACATGAACCTTTTTGGGAAAAGAATTCCAGAAGTGGGTTGACATTAACAGTAAGTCCCTTTCCCTCGTACCACCTGCCTCACTTTGGGTATGTTCATGAGGCAGGTGATGACATACCTAAGACATACACGTACAGAAGCATTCTGGGAAGGATTGTTCATGCAACTGATTCTGTTGTCACCATGTGACTGTGATACTTGGTGTTACATATTTTAGTTGGCAAGCAAAATGGTTCAGATTTTGATTCTGAGGTCAAATCCTTAGGCATTTGAATTATATGTGCAATATTGTTATCTTTATGTCACATGGTAGAAAATGTTGTTCTTTGAATTTGTCAGAAGTCCTTCCTCAAACTCTCATATTCTTGCACATGTCTGGTATCCTTTACAAGTTCCTCAACAATTTTTGCTTACAATTTTCATAATTCTAATTACAAATTCAGAAAGACATGCTAGAATACACTGCCAGAGTTTAATCCGGTGTTATACAAGGAGACTTCTGCTCATGCAACCAGACTTCTCTACTTCTCCTTTCCCTGCAGCCCCTGCCTCTCCCCCTCCCCACCCCACCACTCACAATTCTGCTCTACTCTCTGCTCTACTCCAGTGAGGCAGGGAAATCCTTTCTGTCAGCAGTTCTCATCCTACTGGCAAATGGACAGCACTGGGATGCATCCTTCTGATGCATATTATATGTTGCTGCTCTTACTGTGATTATGTGTGGGTTTGCATGATCCATGTTGCTCATTGTGGTTTATTTAGAACATGGACTGTTTTCAGGCTATGTGAGAATGGTTTAGCCCCACATATCCTATGGAGCGCAGCTTTGGACAAGACTAGCTGCCACATTTACTGTTTGAATATTCCAGTTAGCCAGTGGCATATACAGCAACTTTAGACAATAAATTAAGAAATGAATTATTTATTTTGAATACTTGCTCATGGTACAGGGCTGATAATAGGATGCATTGCAGCTGGGGGTCCAAAGAGAAATAGAACTGGGTTTTATACTACATGTATAAAACAAGATTTTTTTTTTGGTATTTCTTTGAGCAGTTGCTCACATGATAAGCATGCTACGTAGAATACATTGCAACTGAAGACAGGAAAAGAAATGTATCAAATAATACTTCTAATGTAATTTATACAACAACAGGGGCCTTAGAACAAGCCTAGCCTTCTGTAGATTCCTGTTTTCAGTTCACTTATGAGCAAACCACAGACAAGGCCATCAGTGTTGTCACGTCTTGTGCCAGTATCACTCCATCTGCAGCAAGTGATCATCTGCCTGTGCAAAACAAGCATACTACCAGGCCCACCTGTGTGATTTGCTTCCTTCAAATAATATTGGGAGCAGCAGAAAACTCAGCCTTATTGAGCAAGATCTGAGTAATTTTAACTGGATTTAAAATCAGGTCCATTAATGTCAGGGGAAGTGGGGGTGCAGCAGCTTAATGATGCTGGAACTGTCAGCCAAAATGGTCAGCACTCCAGTGGTTTGAGCCCAGCCTCCACCAGACAGAGTGAGCTCCCATCATTCACCCCTAGCCAACTTAGCAGTTCAAAGGCATGGAATATGAGTAGATAGAAAGGTACCACCTTGGTGGGAAGGTAACAGTGCTCCGTGACGTCATGCTGGGGACATGACCATGAGATTGTCTTCAGACAGCCCTGGCTTCTGGCCTCAGAAATGGAGATGAGCACTACCCCCTATTAGCCGCTAGCTAAACTGAGTAAAATCAACAGGGGCGCCTTTCCTTTATCCTTACTATTAATGTCAGTGCTTTTTCTAAGCCATTACACCATTGAGATCAGAAGAATAATAGACAGTAGTGACCTAATTTGAATATTCAAAATATTTTGGGCCTTCTGTGTAATTCAGGTCCTGCAAAATGTTTTCCAGTGGCCACTGTGAATAATATCTTGAAGGATGTGGTAGCAAGTTATCTTCAAGAAGAAAAATATGAAGCAGAGTTGTGCAGACAAATGACAAAGACTATCTCTGAGGTACAAAATTATTAGTAAAGCAAAGTTGAAAAACAGGTATTAGAAAGTAGAATTCAGAGGGATTCCCACAGTCGAGGAAGAAAGCCTCTAATGTACTTCTTTGGACTCATGTCTCAACCCAAGTATGATTTTCAATATCAGGGGTGAACTTTGAGGTCTATGATGTTGAATATTAAGGCACTTTTATAAAGAGGTACCCTTTAGGAGGCTTCTGTCATATGAACAACATATTCTTCAACTATAATTTTGTATTCTGGGCTGCTTCCAGATGGGTGGCTTCTGTTGCTGCTCCTTTTTTGTTGTCTTTTAATTAAGACAAAAACATTTTGTAAGCTTTATTTTTAAAGATAACTAACAAGTACAGTCCTATAACATTATACTGCTAGAATGTTAATTTTAAAAATCACTGTGTTCTAGTAATATCACAATATGATGTGATAATGCAAATAAAAATGGTTTTTGAAACACTTTTCAGGTCACTGCCAGTTTAACAACATGGTTGATGATGATGACTGGAAGGTGGTACTATAAGTCTCTTTTTAAAAGTGACATTACAGATTGTAGTGTTTATAGTTCTGTACCTCTGTTTTCAAATTTATACTTGGAAAAACATATAGTATTAATTAGAAAATCAATGAATAGTAATAATAAGCAGTATGATACAATGGTGCTTATCAAAAGAGTTATAAGAAGTGTGGTAAGCTGTGATATGTTCACTTTTCCTGGCATGCCATTGCCCAATTCTTTTTAAAAGACTCTTTAATTTTTTAAAAATATTTTACAAATTTAGAGATTTTTTTAAAATTCATTTTAAAAGATGAGAGTGTAAAGCAAAAGGAATTTATACAGGTGGAGATTGTGCTACTATTCCATTCTTCTGAAAAAGTTGGACTTCCTGTATTCTGAAAAAAGATGGAAGAACTGCAGGAAAAATGCAGGGTGACTATGACTAGATGACAGCATTGTGTAGATGAATACAGGATAAAAAGCAGGTGTATAAAGCATGACAGTTTCACACTAAATGTCCAGTGTAGAAGCACTCCTAGATGCTTGTCCTCATTACTGCTGATATTTAGAAATCAGTTTCAACATATTTCATTGGGAACCAATGTTTTCTCTTGGAGTTCTTTATCTGTCATTGATTTTGTCTTTCAATTTAGCTGGACATGGAGACTGTCAAAAATACTCATATTTCAGATGGGGTAGGGGAGGATTTGATGTTTTAAAATAACTCACCAATTGATATCCCTGACAATATGGAGAATTTCCATGCTGGAACTCAGCAGTATAGAAATATTAAATGTTAAACTTAGGATAGGTTTATTTTATTTATTTATTTGGGATATTTCTAGGCCATCCAATCACACTGAGTCTCTGGATAGCTCACAACAAAGTTCCCTTGGACTTGGTGCAATTTTCTACTAATAAAATTATAAAAATAAAAACACATCATGACTGGGAGCTAGTGATAACAGTTTGCAATTGAGCATGTTTGTTGCTTTGGTTTTTTTTTCTTTCTTTTCTCTTTTAGGTAATTAAGGCTCGCATAAAAGACCTGATGATACCAAGATACAAAATTATTGTGGTCATACATATTGGGCAATTAGACAAGCAAAGCATACAGATCGGAAGCAGGTGCCTCTGGGATACTACAAGTGATACTTTTTGCTCATATGCCTTCAAAAATAGATCATTGTTTGCCCTTGGAAATGTCTATGCAGTTTACTCTGAGTAGGAAAAGGTTTTGGTATGAAATGTAACTTGAATTCATAGGTAGATATCATTTTTATGCTGCAATCCTGTGCACAGTTACCTGAGAGTAAGTTCAGTTGCATAAATCTGAGTAAAGCTGCATAGAATTGCTCTGCTTGTTATGGCATTGTATTCATTGGGTCCTAAGGTAGTAGTTACTTGTAATACCTCTGGTGCAATTCTTGTAGCCTGTATGTAAGCATATTGTTTGGTCATGTACATACTCCCAGAAGAAGACTCAGTACCCCCAATATCATAATAGGGATATTATACCAGGTAATGTCTAACTATTATATACTGTCTAATTTATTGTGTTTATATTTTTGACAAATTATTGAAAAATAGAGCCAGCTTACAGTTGTTTCCACTGGAGAAGGAAATGGCAACCCACTCCAGTATCTTTGCCATGAAAACCCCATGGACAGTACCAAAAGGCAAAAAGATATGACGCCGGAAGATGAGCCCCTCAGGTCAGAAAGTGTTCAAAATGCTACTGGGGAAGAGCAGAGGGCTAGTACTAGTAGCGCCAGAAAAAATGAAGCGACTGGGTCAAAGCCGAAAGGACACTCAGCTGCAGATGTATCTGGTGGTGAAAGGAAAGTCCGATGCTGCAAAGATCTATACTCCATAGGAACCTGGAATGTAAGATCCATGAATCAAGGCAAGCTGGATGTGGTCAAACGGGTAGCACTCCTGGAACCTGTGTCCAGTTCTGCCTATCCCTGATGGAACAGGCATGTGCAGCCACAGCCTAGTTCCTAAACCAACTGCCCTCAATTTAAACTTCAAGAGCTATGTAAACTAATTTGCCACCTTTGAGTCCTGGCTATGACACTGTATGCTTTCTGCTTGATTTTGCACCTTTTATGCCTAGTACACATAGATTTGTCTGTTATAGAAAATAATTCCCTGTTGTAGTTCATATAGGGCTTGTGACCAACTAATTGTCATCATGATCATTGTATACACTTTTAAATTCTTGTGTAACCAATAAACTAACACCCTTTTTAGAATCGAACACATGTACAGTATGTGTGTGTATGTAAATTTGTGTGCATACTTTTAAAAAATGGTACAAGTCTGCTAAGGCAAACTATTCCCAGTGTGAAAAGATCCCTTTATGTATGTATCCAATTGTAAGCAGTCCTGATTGAACCATTTAAATAAAATAAATTTTGTCCCCAAAAGCCAGATTTTGCCAGCTCAAAGCCTGATCTATTTCTTTAATGGTAATGTTAGTGCTGAGGTATTTGCAAGACAAACTGGGAAATGGTGCTGTTTTGCACTACAGCCCTTGCTACAAACTGTCTTTACAGTTGACCAACTTCTTCAGGAAACATAATGTGTTCTGTTTCAGAGAATTTTGAAAGAATTGCAGGCATGCACATATTTCTGTGCACTGCAAGGACAAACAATGAAACCAATGTAGTGAACTGTGTATTTATTTCATAAGTAGGAACTAAAAGTGTGCAGATATCTTTACATGTTTGAAATGCAAATGTTATAAAACATTTGTCAATTTGTACATCTAAAATAGAATATATTGCATTTAGGAAGAGGTATACAGCTAGAAAATATCAAGCATGATAGAAAAGGTATCAACATTACATATCATTAGACCTAAAACATCTTACGTCCTAATTCATTAATATACCAGGATCTGATACATTTTTAGCACAGTGAATGTATAGTGCTTTCACTACAGCCAACAGCACAGCAAGACACTGAGATCCTCACGATATCCTCCTGCCTCATGTGTACTGATTTTCGCTGCAGATCTTTTTCAGTCTCAGACATGGACTGGATGAATCCTTGGCTTTGGATGTCTGTGTTCCTGATATAATTTTCTTTGGCACCTGTTGAGTCATTAATATCAAGTAGGAAACGTGGGTGACTTCCTTGATCTGTTGCATGAAAATGATGCAGAAAAGAAAGCTTGATGAAAACAGCAACCTCTAATAAAACACTTGAATAATCCCCGCCCCCCCAAAAAATCATTTAAGCAAAATTGTGCCGGCCCAAACCCTGATATATTTATTTTAATTTTCATGTGGGTATTGATCAAGAAAAGACTAGGAGCTTTAAGAAAATTTATATAAGAGTTTCAGTGCTTCAAAGAAATTTGTTTTAATGGAGTATGTTAAGAATCAAAGCCTCAATTATTTTAATAGGATTAGCCTAGTAGTGTTGAGAGTTGGATTACCTTTAAAATAAGGAAATAAATAAAATAAGGAAAGGAAGCAAGATACAGTTTTTTTCTTCATAGTAGGAATTAGGGCAAAGTCTGATTAACCTTGGAGGGACTTAAGATTTATCAGAGAAATACTTCTGAACTTTTCTGTGTGTGACTTGGAAAATACTGACTTTAGCCATTCTACGTACACTGGGACCTTATCCTGGAGGAAGAGAATTTTATCCCACCTGAAGCTGGGACATTGTACTCTGAGGGCTCATCCTCCCAACTGCTAGGTTAAGCTACCCAAGTTAGTTTATGCTGTGTAAAGACTGCTTAGTTTTTTTCTGTGACCCAGTGACAAAAAGGACCTGTCTGTTTCACCCAGCAGCAAACACATCTGAGTAACAGCTACACTTTCTAATTCCAAAACTGGAGATGCCAAAATTTTTGTGGTTGCTGTCAGAATCCCCAGAAAGAGCTCCCAGTCTGGCCTGTAACCATCATATGTCCCTCAGAATCTCATTTCAACTTCTGCAGATCCCTCCTCCCTGGCTTCTTGGGACTCTGAACATGTGCATATCAATAACAATGACCATCCTCTGCATGTGATTTGTCCTATGGTGAATCCATGGGACTATTATGACTACCATTTTGTATATGTAATCCACTCTTGGAAGTTGCCATATTGTTTAAACTGGCAATCATGGGTTATATGAGGGCTGAACATACCAACTTATACCAGGATTGTTTGACCTTGGTATAAGTCATGGACATTACTTCCACACAAAAATAAAATTCCCAAGTGCAGGTTGGATATGCAAAGTGATAGCCAGCATGGCTTGCTGTGGGTTAGATAAGCCACCAGGTTCCTGTGATTCCAGTTTAATTTTATTTCCTCTCCTTTTCCTCAAGGCTTGCTCTTGTAACAGCTTACTTGATGAAACATAGAAACATGGAAACAGAGCGAGTCCGAAGGGGTTTCCCGGGCCATCTAGTCTGACCCCTGGCTCTAACCGGCTCTGCTCATGACATGCCCACCATGTGCATGTCTAGCCTATCCTTGAATACCATCACCGATGGGGCCTCAACCACCTCCCGTGGAAGCCCATTCCATACCCTCAGGGTCCTAACTGTCAGGAAGTACTTCCTGGCATCATGAAGAGATCTGGTGATATGAAAAACCTGCACAGTTTTGGTGACTTCTGGTTTGGTCTAATAAAAATATTACAGTAATACAGTTTTTCATTTTTTTCCCTTAGAGTTGGTATTACTACATTTGTGTGTAATTTTTTAATCTGAACCTAATCATAGTGATATATAAGAGAAATCCTCTTGTACACCATGTATATCTTTGATACAGTATAAACCCATAATTCTAGTATTAAGAAAAATGTGTAAATCTACCCGGAGGGTTTCTACCTGGAGGAGAACCTTCTCTGTGGTGGCACCCAGACTATGAAATGCGCTCCCCAGAGAGGTCTACCTGGTACCACCTCTTTACTCTTTCCGGCGCCAGGTAAAGGCCTTTTTATTTAGCCATCATTTTAATAATTAAGTGTTTAATTTAAGATCACAGTTGCATGTTCTTTTTCTTCCTTTCCTCTTTTTCTTTAGTTTTTTGAAAGTGTTTGTTTTATGTTGTGCTTATTATCTAATGTTTTAATTATTGTTTTATTGTATCATTATATTAGTATTTTAACCATTGTAAGCCATCCTGAGGCATCTTATCGCAAAGGACAGGATAAAAATGTTTTAAATAAATAAATCTCAGAATTAATCTGTCTTGTAAGAAATATTTGTCAAAGTTCACAACAGTGTAAAATACACAGTATAAAAGTTTGAACAGTTAAGACTACAAAATTAAATTGGGAACTAGAGTAAAACCTAGCAACCATATAAAGATTAAAAATGCAGAATTAAAAACAGACTGAAAATTAAATTCCTGGGGAAATTACAAGGTCTATACCTGGCACTGGAAAGAATACAGTGTAGGTGCCAGATGAGCATCTCTGGGAAGTTCACTGCATACACAGGGTTCCAGAACCAAAAAGTTCCTCTACTTAGGAGCAACCCACTTGGCTTTCCTTGGCAGGTGTTCCTTCAGAAGGACCACTAAGGATGAACTTAGGGTCCAGGCAGGAACGTACATATCAGAGATGATCCTTCAGGAAACCTTGACATAAGCCATTTAGGGCTTTGAACTTTAATTCTAGTACCACTTAAGTGGTCTAATTAACATCTCTCTTAAAGAGGCTGGTGCCATTCTCTTGAGGAGGAGTTTACAACCTCCTGGCCCCAGCCTGATACCTCCAAACTATTAGAAGTAACAAGCTGTGAAAGGCAAGGGTCAAGACCACAGGTTTTCAACTCAACTTGGTGAAGCACCTGGTCCATGCCCTCAGGCCTTAGCAACTGAAATCCATGCAATAAAACTGAACCAAAAGTGCTTTGGACAGGTGTAGTAATGGAACTTGGACTATTTACATTGTTTACCCTGCACAACTGTCTGCTCATGCTCTAAGATCTCCTGAGTGAGGCAAGTGATAACAGTAGTGGAATCCAATTTATGGAATTCTTTCCTCAGTGGGGCTTGTCTGACATCTAATCAGCTTCCTTTCTGTCGATGGTTAAAAAGCCTTTCTATTTGTCCAAGCTTTTAATTATTATCCTGGTTTTTTCCCCTGCCACTTTTCATTTTGTATTTATTAGACTTGTTTTATTAACATCAATGTATGTTTTTAATTTGTACACCATGCAAGGAACTTTGGGTGGATTAAAATGTAATAAATATATTTTGCTTTTTATTTTATAAGCTACTCTGAGAATATGGAAAGGGCAGCTTGATCTATTTAAAAACAAATATCCCCATTCATTCCATTGTGTGTTGCATGCAAAAACCAAAGTATTTGAACAATTTATATAATTAAAGTCATTACCTATGAGATTTTCCATGAGATCAGTCAGTTCTCTTCTCCAGCGAGATCCTCCACATGTAAAAATGACAGCTCTAACAAACTCTCTCCCACAGAGTTTAATAGGGCTTCCTTCTGATTTTACTTCATATACAGCCATGAAGAAAGAGAGAAAAAGCAGCCCTAGCACTGTGCCCTTCATTTTGTAGAAACAGTACCTGATTAACCAGCACAGGAAAAGAGAGTGCCACTGGAGGCTGAAGCCAGTACTATGGACCAATATATAGCATGCACGCCTGTGTTCTGTTAGTCAAATGATGAGGCTGATGGGTTCTAATGTTTGTCAAATATTTTTGTAGCTGTTTTAAGTGCTTTTAAATCTGCTTTTGTTCTCCAGTAATCATTAACATCATAATATATTGCTTTATATTCTAAAAATAGCAACATACATAGTGCCACAGTAAATTTAAAAAGATCCCCTACCTTAAATATAAACACAGTAAATGTGTGCTTCCTGCCCCTTTCAATGTTTTATTACATGCTTCACTCATCACTAATGACTGTGGGTTGCTATAACTTTCTAAATAGTGTGTAAGCTTGACCTATAGGTACATCTATCATGCCGCTTTGCCAATTGTAGGACTTTTTCCTGACTAAACATGCACAGGATTGTGCCCTTATAGAGCAGAAGTAGGATGTCCTATAATTACATATGTGCCTATTTGCCAAATGTTCTTATCTGCACCTTGCCCCTTAACCATATATACCATATTTTTT